GGGCTAATACCTCCAACAGGGGTTAGTACCCCAACAGGGGAACTACTACTTCTGACATGGGTGACTCTCTTAACTTAAATGGCCCTCTCTATAAAATTAATTCTCCCTGGCAAATATAATTTTTTCCACAACAGAGGGGTATGGACCCCCTTGTAGGGGAGCTTGGACCCCTCGTTGGAGAATTACTGGCACTGCCCCTGCCAGGCCAGTTTCTACAAAAGGCGTACAGGAAGTAGCCAAGATTTTGCAAGTGATAAGCAAGATATAATTCTTCAGAAGGTCTATAATAAATAGTTATTCAGTAGAATTGTACCAACCTATACTATCTATCATTTATACTGCACTATTTCCAGAGAATGAATAGCATTACATAACGAGAGTTACATTACATACAAAAACAAAAGTGCATAATGATTCTCATTCCACTTCTGAATTGTGTGCTGAGCCCATTACTAAACTAAAAAAATTGTTCAATATGACACTGGAATAAAAGCCACCAGTAAAAACAGAAAGTATGGAAGGCCACTCTGGTTGACAAACACCACTTGAATAAAAATCCTAATGATACCTACCATTTGTGATGCACTTCCCCTTGGATTTCCACAAGCAAACACTGCTTCTACAGTTGCACCCTGAAAAAAAAACATACAGTATTATCTTCACTACCACATTTCTTTAAAAGAAAGTACATTTAAGTATTGATTACTTAACTGTCGTCACAAATGGAATTCATCACCATTAGCAGGCAATAACTAAAGCCCAGATACACTATATATACTCACCCTACGGTACTTGGGGTCAGGCTGCACAATGACCTTTCCATACTTATTACCAGTGTCAGTTCTTGAGTCTGGCAAGAATCCAGTGTAGTTTGTAGTCACAGGTGCTTCACCAACCTCTTCTCCTTGACTCGTGCCCTTTTTCATTGAAATTTAATATTTACTCTCATAATATAAATTATCAATAATACAAAGTAGAACAACTTTTATATATCATAATTCAAGAAGTTGGAATGAATTTTCAAACAAAACAAAAATTAAATTTAAAAAATGATATTACTTTCATTTCAAAAATCTATTAATTTATAAGTTTTACATTGAATTTTCTTTTTACTTTGTTTTGTGTGTTGCTATCTTTCTATTTTGATGGTTTATTTTTAATTGTATCACTTTGAAAACCAGTACATAAGTACTAAAAGTGGTGCAGTCTAAAGAATGTATGAATAAATAAATATAAATATTGATACGATATAGAGATAAACTCTAAACCGTCTTGCTATAGTGATACAGTATATCAATTTTGACTGATACAGAAGAAAAATCTGCTAGTGTGAAAAAGTCACCTTAACAGTGATTCCAACCCGGGATTTTCTGCTGTCTATGCTGTTACCCTATACTCCAACATAGCTCCCTGATTATGGTTCTTTTCGCATTTACTCAACAAGGGCTCTGTTCTTCTTCTCTTCAATCAAGGCTTTCTAATTACTGATGCCAATAAAGACTCTCAAAAAGTGGTCTGAAGTGAATTACACCAACAAACAGGTTTTGGACCCACAATCATGGCATCCAAAACCTTAATCTTAACACTTACTAAAGCTATCTTTTTAGCTAGTTCTCTGAATTTATGGATGTAGGCCTGCAATGTGTGTGGACCATATATAGTAGATGCTCCTTCATAACGTTGAACCTGAGATAAAGATAAACTCAATTAGTATCATAGTTAAATAGAATTCATTCATTCATTCTTTATTTTACCTTTCATAAAAATCACACTACAACTGGTACATACAGTACAGAAATTAAAAAATAACTGAAAAATACAGAAAAGCTGTAAATCTAAAGATTAATCATTACCATAATCATTTATGATAATCTTTAAATAATATTAACTATTATCATATTATGAATATTATCTTGAAATAATTTCATTTGGATCCAAGTGTACAATTACCTTCAAATTTTTTTTTTATCCAATGAAAGAAAATATAACGTAACACAGCCAGTCTACTTGCAAAAGCCAACGGATGGTATGCAATTAAATTATATTTTCTCTCATTGGATGCACAATTCAAATCTCAAGTTAATGAAGTTTATCATCATAATAATCATTCATTCATTCATTTCACTTTATTCATAGAAAAACGTCAATATAAAAAGCGGTCACAAGTCTTGGCCCGAAAGCCAAATTGAATGTGAGCCTTACAAATTCAGTAATAATTAAGACAATATATACAGAAATTAATTATAAGTATAAATATAAGAATTGAGATAATATATACAGCAATTAATTATTAATATAAGAATTGGGACAAAATATACATTTAAAAAAAAAAACATTCAAAAGTGAATACAGCCATAAAAAAAAAAGAAACACAATCCAAAATAATCATGAATATAAAATAAAATAATTACTGTATACTGTTAATTATTTTGATCATTATATCATGCATTCATATAATAATAATAATAATATTTATTCGGCAGAGTAAAAAGTATACATACAATATTCTTGCCAGGAGTAAGTAATAGGCATAAGCCCAAACAGTAAACTGCTCTTACTCCATCATCAAAAACAAATACAATGACAATACAATATAAATATATACAAAAAAAGTAAATTAAAAATAAATTGATTTAACTAAAACAAAATGAAAAACAGAGATAATTAATAGTTATTATTAGTATTAATATTTTGAGATCAAGTGTTTTGTGAGCTGGGCTTTAAAGTCCGAAATGGATGTGCATTGTTTAATTTCATTAGGAAGTATATGCAGGATACTTTAAGCATTGAAATTAAAGATTTTAGAAAATATTAAATATAAGACTTACTTGATATTCTTCATAGGTGACAATATAATCAGAATATGTATTTGCTAAGCCTGAAATAGTAACCTTAGTATCACCACTCATACCATTCTCAACCAATGTCTACAAATTAAAATTAAAATCACACATACTAAGCACTGGTCGAGTTGTCACAGCTTTTGGTTATCCCGGTATCAACTCCTTTTGTTTTTTTTTGTCTGTGATTGCTAACTATTTTACTAGTATATTTGTATTTTGATGTTTATGCATGTCTGTATCTTTTTGGAAGTTTCACTTCTGTTGTTTGTGGCTGATTTTTATGATACCAAATAAAGAAACAAAGAAACAAACAATACAATGATGGTGGATAAAGGTCCCTTGTATAACAACATTGCTTTTTTTTTTACATTTTGTAATACATAATTATTATATCAAGACTACATCAACGAATTCACTTGTGTTTTATAAGCCTCTTTGATATCAAGGTGTTTGGTATAAGTAGTATACTGCCCTCTGTAATGTTTACTGATTATGCATCAAAACGCAAACCAAAAAAAAAAAATCCAGCAACAAAGGTAACCACACAATTCAGTACTATATTATACAGGGAGACAAAAATTTAGAGTTTACCTCTTTAATAGCATTTCTTAGCCTACGTCCTGCCATTGTGCTGTAAAAAAGAAATCAATTCCTTTATCTATCCTATCAGTATTTTGTTATTTTGACCATGAATAAAATAGTATACTGCCCTCTATAATGGTTTCCTGAATAAACAAAGTCAACAAATTGTGTTGCTCAAGCTGACCAGGGAGTTGTTCTAACTAACTAAACTTTTATAGGGGTCAGCATTTTTTTGGCCAACATTATATTTTGTTTTACCAGGTTACCAAAAACAATTGTATGATGTCACACTTAAGTTATTAGACCTGTTGTTTTGGAACCTCAGCAACGATCAAATTGATCAAAGTACTAAAACATACAAATAATTATGAATTTGTGGGAGATTCTTGTTTGCCTGCGGGAGTGTGGGAGGAAAGCCCCAATTTCTGGGAGACTCCCGCGACTTCCGGCAGCAAGGGGCAGGGCTTAGCGGAATGGTCCATTATATCTTCATCATTGGATTGCAAATCAGTTCACTATTACCTGAATTCTCCAGGTACAGCAGCAATCACCACTTGACCAATCCGCAGTAACTGGACATCAACAATCGTAGGCTGCCACTTCCACGGCACAGATATCTGCAAAAGAAATAGCGTGTAACGGAAGATGCTCTGCTTTACAAATATATTTATCCATGGTGGTAATTAACATCAAAACAGTAATTATAATTACTTGAATGTTGTGGAATCCTCTTTTAAAAGATGGGTTTGATTTTAACCTCAGCAGTATTTTGAGTAAGCTACTACTTCCTTACCTCTCCAGTTGGAAGCAGAATTGGCTTTGGTGCATGGCAGTCAATCTCCTCTTTTGAAGGCTCCTTGATGGCATTTCTGACAAGATCCCAGAACAGACTGCCCTCAACATCACCTAGAAACCCACAATCAATCAAGATAAATTAGAATATTTTTTTAATGGAAAATTAGTAGTCTGCAATTGGTTGATGAGAAAGGCTGCCCTGGATTTAGCAAAACTAATAGAAACATTAGCCGTAATCTGCCTATTTACCAGGCAGTCTGGGTTTCGGCATTACTTTTATTAAGGCTCAATTACATTATGAAGATTTCAAATCTACTGTAACTGTTCTGTTACTGTTCTTTAAGGACTATTTCTATCTGAACATCAGTCTCCCTTGTTTCGCCCTTTTTCGCTATTGTAAGTCTCACTCACTTCCCCCACTTTTCCTCCCCAATCAATTGAACTGGCAATTTTCATATTAACTAACATCATAAACCACTAAGATTGGTTACCTTGTAGTCGCACAGCTAAATCTTGAGTATGGTGTGACATGGCTTGAGATGACTGGTGACCATGATTTCTATGATTCAGAAACATGAGATAATAAAAAAAAAATGGATGATTACATGAAATAATAATTAAGATGCTATGATGGCGGTGTACATATGAGCAAGGGTCCCAAGTTGGAAGAAGTCAATTCTGGGAGCAGGGGGGCGGTTCCCCATCAGGGAGACAAAAGCCACAATTTGTCGGGGATAAATAAATTATATGTACTGTATTTTCTTCATAAATAGATAAATTGTCAAACTTTTAGGGGCTTCGTCCCCTAGACCACCGATATATTTTGAGCAAATCCGGACTATGCCCGCTTTGCTCCCGTCAGACATCTGCAGTGACAGATTCGAGAATTCGCAATAGGAGGTGCAGAGAGAAGCTTATGTAGGGTCTATACAGCTTAACCCCACCATGATTGGGGTTGAGGTAAGAACATTATGATTATGGCACTTCTAGATGGCTGGAAATGGCATTCTCAGACTTAAATTTGAATATTGTTTTATTTTTCTCTCCATTTTTTTTAATTTAGAAAAAAATTGGGGTTGGGGCTTTCCCTCTTGAATCCATCACTGATCTGGTTAATGAGCTTCAAAACATTTCATTTTATTTTGCTGTATATTGTGATACACATTGGCAATGACTTCCGTGAGACAACTGAAAATTAAGCAGTGAAAATATGCAAATATTATGAATTTGCGGGATATGGGTTAATTTCCAGGAAAGTCTTGCTTGATTGCGGGAGACCATCCCGATTGCCAGGGGGACTCCCGCAAGTTCCGGGAGACTTCGGACCCTTGTATGCATTGCCATGACAAAGAGCAGCATAGTGGAGTAGGCTACACTTAGTGTGCACTGAACTTTGTATATGTTTGTCACTAGATCTCGCCCACCAATATTCTATAACCAAGTCTTTTTAAGAGGTGTGGGCAGTTGGAATCTCCATAACTATAAACAAGTTTTTTGGGGTTTAAAGAACTGATTTCTCTGTTTTATTTTTGTCAGGATTGAACCGAGACCCTGGGATTAGAAGGCAAGCAAGTTAACCACTATCCACAGCTACACTCCAATAATTGTAATAATAATAATTTCTGTAATTTGAAGTGATGTGTAGGCCTACAACCTTGTGTGAAGCTAAGAACTCCTGGGCCATCTGTAGTGCCTGCTATAAAGGAATAACCCATTGCTGGCTTGCAAGTCTTTACCTAAATAGTAAGAAAAAACATGGTACCAATATTAATAAGAAGTATAACATAAAAATACAGAAGCTTCTATCCACTTTACAGCCAAACTAATACACAATAAAAAAAAGTAAAACAGGTAATATAAAAAAAACACACATACACAAAACACTGACAATAATAAAAACATATAGAATACAACAAATATATTGTAAATTGGCCAAAATCAATAAAACAAATAACAGAAAAAATATATGTTACACAAAATGTATATATATATATATATACTGTCTCTTATACACAAAACCTAATAAGCAAATTTCGAATGAGAACCTTAAGAAAAATGAACGCACGGCCATTAAAGAACTCAGACAGAATACCACCATAACTATTAAGCATGCTGATAAGGGCGGTGCTATCACGATTCTTGATACTGATATGTATATCAATGAAATAAATCGACAGCTATCCGATGTATCAACATATACCACATTACCGGCCGATCCAACTGACACATACAGAGAAAAACTATGTGACATGCTGCAATCGCTTGATACTAATACTCAAGATCTAATCCAACCACTAGTCCCAAAATCACCAAAACCAGGCACAATATACTGTCTACCCAAACTTCAAAAGCTCCCGTCAATTATCAAGGATGCGTTAAACAGTTCGACTTCAGAACCACCAACCTACGATCTATCTGATCCGGTTGTCATTTACGACCTAGCAAAGTCATTAAACATCACACCTCCAGGCAGACCTATAATTTCCGGTATTGGAACACTCACAGAAGCATTATCAGGCTTTATTGACTCTATACTGAACCCTTTACTTCATAATATACCTAGTTACCAAGGACACAACGCACTTTCTCAACAAATTGAACGAAATATCCCACCTAGATGATGATGCGTTGCTCGTAACTATGGACGTGTGCTCTCTTTACACCAATATATCTCATAACGAAGGAGTAACTGCTTGCGAAAGATTTCTCACGGACTACCATTCAGAATTACCAGCTAAGGACATTTGCAAAATAATTGATTTTATTCTTAAACACAATTATTTTAGCTTTAATGGCTCTTACTACCTCCAAACAACAGGTACAGCAATGGGAACCAAAATGGCCCCATGCTATGCGAATGTCTTTATGGCAGAATTAGAAAATGATTTACTGTCTAGCCTAGTATTTAAACCTTCTCATTACTCACGCTATATTGATGACATATTTTTTATTTGGAAACATGGTAAAGATAAGCTTATAGATTTTATATCTATCATCAATAATTATCATCATAGTATTAAGTTCACTGTTAAATATTCTAGTGAGTCCATTCCATTTCTAGATGTATTAGTTGGCAGAAACGGAGGCCACATATCTACATCCATATATTACAAACCTACAGACAATCATCAATACCTTGACTTTTACAGCTACCATCCTATCACTCTTAAACGGTCTATCGTGTACAGTCAGTGTCTCAGACTCAAGCGAATCTGTTCAGACCCTACAGACTACCAACAACAGCTGTCTCGCCTCACTACTAACTTTTTGAATTGTCACTATCCCCTCAAACTAATACTATCTGCTATATTAAAAGCATCTTCTAAATCTCGCTCAGACCTTTTATCTTACACCCATAGACCTATCCCCGATACTTGATGACTGTCCCCCTATCAAGTCTCTCGGCAACTCCATCAAGAATGACTACAAGACTCTTCAGAAGGACCCCAATATATCAGAACTCTATCTTCATCCTCCGATTCTAGCTCAACGCCAACCCCCTAATCTTAAATCTCTTCTCACCTCCTCCAGTTTACCCTTGGCTAATCCTACTCATGGTAACATGGCTTGTAACAACAGGCGATGCCAACTATACACTATAATTGACACATCCGATAGATTCAGAGTTCCTGGTACCAACATCATCATCCATCCTCCACCACTTAACTGCCATGCCTCCAATGCTGTTTATATTATATATTGCGCCATATGCAACAAAGGTAACTACGTAGGTGAAACAAGATGTAAACTCTGTTTAAGAATCAATAATCACAAGAAATCTATCAGGGATAAACTAAAGGGTTTTCTCGTAAGTGAACACTTTAATTCTACAGACCATTCCATCAAAGATTTAAGGTTCATTGTTATAGGATCTAACTACCGTTCCCTTAAGAAGCGACGATGTACTGAATTACGTTGGATCCTTCATCTGAAATCACACATTAATGGATTAAACAAAGACCTAGGCTTTATTAGTGGTTACTCTTTTGTAAATAATAAATCTTAATTATTCCCACAGCCCTAATAGCAAATATATCACTCGATATCTTATATGTATATCACTCGAGACATATATCTTGTATATTATCCTTTTTTAATCACTATATGATCTACAATATGTACTTTTACTAAACCCGTCACTTTTACGACACAATCATGATATTTTAATTACATAACTGTATTTTAATTACTATGCTTTTAATAGCCGTATATATTACCATTATATATTTTCATCAACTATTTTGTTTAAATCCAATATCAAATGACCAATGAATTTATATTTGTTAGTAGGCAAACAATTTATATCTGCTATCTGACCACACATAAACAATTAGTTATTCTATTAATCACCTTATTTTGTCATGCTAATATTTGTGCCTAATTACTTCCTTGATGTGCCAATATACTCTATGCAAAGTTTGTTGTATGTTCAATTCACACTGAAGAAGGTTGCAGGGACGACTGAAATATTTGTGTTAAAAATAAATATATTATTATGTTCCTGAAACACGTCAACCCTCGTTTTCTGTTACTTGTGATCAGTCTCACTACATATATACATATATATATATATATATATATATATA